AATAATAACAATAATAATAATAATTAATAATAATACAAAAAGACAGACCCTTTGGCTTCAAGAAGCAGCCCTTGTTTTAAGGGGAAGAGGCTTTGGTTCATGTTTTTGTGGATATTAAGAGGTTTTTATTTTTTCCCTTTTGAAGGCAGAAGGAGGTCCAGAGATGAACCTTTGGCATATTAACTTTCCTTTTGCCCACCCGTGTGAAGAGCAGCAAAGCTCTTCCCCCGCTGGGAAAATGCTCCTCTGCTGGGAGGTTTCCTGGGGAGGACCTGCCTGGGCCCAGCAGGCTCTGCAGAGACCCCAGCACGTGCCCCCAGCTCCTCCCCACAGCCCCAGCCCAGGGAAGGATGCTCTGCCCCAGCGTTTTGGGGTCTACACCCTGGTGGGAGCACTCACTGCACAGAGGCCTCCAGTGGCCGGTGGGATTTAAGGGACCCTGTTGAAGCAGCTCATCTCGAGGAATTTGTCCACTGCTTTCCTGCCACAAAATCTGGATGAAATGGGAAAACAAAGAAGGTAGCAGACGATAAACTCTGTTTACATTCGTACTGTAGAGACCTGAACGATTTATGATGCCAAGGCATGTTCAGAGACCTTTAAAACCTGATATTTAACCCTGAGAACATAACTGCAAATGCTTTTTTTTGGCTATGCAAACAAATCTTTAAGACATAATTGCACTTTCTCTGTATATAACAAAAAATATAATCCATAAAGCTTATTCAAATATCCAAAAGAAAGGTGCTAGTTTAAGACATTAGAGATTCTTTGTTCACAAAACCTTGTCGTTTTTGTAATTATTCTTAATATTATTTCACATGGCTCATCTTTCACTGGCTACTGGGCTGCACTCTGGAAGAATAATATACAAGAAAATCTCTTAATTGTGAAATAACATTAATAAATAATTACTTAAGTAAAAGGACAGCCGTACCCATTTGTTAATGTCTGAAAAACATCGTTACCATGATGAGATCATTTCAAAACCAGGATGTTTCTCTTTCACCAACAACAGACTTCACATTTAATTCTCATAAGAATAATATTCAACCCTTTGCAAGTGCAGTGAGCTGTAAAAACCAGAATCAGTAAGAGATCCTGCTTCGAAAGTTAAGGTGTCTACTTGAAATATCTGAAATTTGCTCAATATCTAAGATCTGATGATCTGTATATGAAAGAGCTCTTCCAAAGGAGACACAAAGGAAGTCTTTTCGGGCTGGGCGAGAGGTGGGAGCCTCGTTGGGTTACACCAGCGACTCTTTCACCACGCGTTCCTTCTCCCAAGCTTTCGCCTCGCCGGGAGCATCTCGCGTCTCTGAGCTGGGAACGGGTGTGAGACCAATGGCAGGGGCTGTCTCCACGTCCGTCCCACTGTTCCCATACATCTCGTGCATTTTGGTGGCAAGGAGACCTTCCTTCTCGGGCGCCCCCTCTCTCAGGGCGTCCTCGTCCTTCCCGTGCCTGTACATGTAGGACGCCTGCTTCACCGAGCGCCGCAGCAGGTACCTCCGGAAAGCCCTCTGGATTTTCGTCGCGCAGACTTCCTCGTGTTTCCTTTTCAGAGTGGTGGTGATGGGTTCATAGGAAACCTTCGAGGGGTTTGCGGCCATGAACTTCTCCTCCATGGTGGCCTTCAAGGCATCCATCTCTCCCGAGTCTCCCAGCACTTCCTTCGTCAGGGCAAAGAGGATATCCAGACAGTGGATTTTGTCTCCGGCGACCATTGGGAGATCCATGGTGATTAGCTTGATCTTGTTGGGCTTGGGAATTTTGAGCGGCTCCTGTAAGGTGTCTACAAAGTCGGACAAGGTGCTGTACGCAATGAACTGGGTGGCATCCGGGTCAAACTTCTCCCAGGTTTCATAAAACATTTCAAAATCATCTTCGCAGAGGGGCTCGCTGCTCTCCTCCGTGGCCACGTTGAAGTTCTCCAGGATGATGGCGATGTACATGTTCACCACAATGAGAAAGGAAATGATGATGTAGCTGCAGAAGAAGAAGATGCCTATGGATGGATTGCCACAGTCCCCCTTCACCGAACTGCCAGGGTTTTCCAGGTCGGGGTCGCAGTCGGGGGGACCACTGTTCAGGATCGGGCTGAGGAGACCATCCCATCCAGCTGATGTGGTGATCTGGAAGAGGCAGATGATGCTGTTCCCAAAAGTTTCAAAGTTGAAGATGTCATCGATCCCCGCCTCCTTCTTTACGTAGGCGAAGTTGGACATCCCGAAGATGGAGTAGATGAACATGACGAGGAAGAGCAGGAGGCCGATGTTGAACAGGGCAGGCAGGGACATCATCAGAGCAAAGAGGAGAGTCCTGATGCCTTTTGCACCTCGGATCAGCCGCAGGACGCGGCCAATCCTTGCCAGCCTGATGACCCTGAAGAGGGTGGGTGATACAAAGTACTTCTCTATGATGTCTGAGAGGACGATACCTGTGAAGGGATGAAGAAGAGTGAGTTGGCCATGCTCTCCAGTCAACATAAGGAGGTGAGGTGGAGCTACTCTGCTCCATCAGCCAGAGGTGGGTATGCACAGGGAGATGAGGCCACCCCTGGTGGCACAGACCCAAGGGTTAAACGCTGGCTGCTGGGTTTCAGCAATGCAGCCAGGCAACGTGGAGATGAGGGGAACCCAACACCAAGGAGGAGTGAGACACATCCCTCATCATTCATCTTGTCTCAGAGTCCTGTTGGCTTGGGCCTGCTCAAAGGGTGGGCGTAAAGGCAGCTCAGAGCCCGTGGATCAGCTAGACAATTTCCACTCTTCATTATCCAGCAGGACCCCTGAGGAACTGGTGGAACCTGCAGGACTCACCTAAGATGGAGAGGATGACCACCACAAAGTCAAAGATGTTCCAGCCAATGGTGAAGTAGTAGTAACGCAAGGCGAACATCTTGAGCACACACTCTCCGGTGAAGATGACAATAAAGACCAAGTTTATCTTGTAGAGGACAGACGTTTTGAGTTCACTTTGGTCATCTGTTTCAACCATCATGGTCACCATGTTGAGGCAAATCAGGATCATGATGGTTATGTCAAACACTTGCTTGGTAACGAAGTCAAACACCATCCCTTGGAACTTGTTCTGCCGTGAGGGTCACGTGGGTGATGATGGAGACCCAGAGGTGAGGTGGGAACAAGGGACAGACCCACACAGAACAGAAAGACAAGAGAAAGAGAAGGAACTGTATTTAAAAGAGTGTAGGACACATCAGGCTTGTGACTAGTACACAGGTCTCATGGCCTTGGAAGCTGTGGAGGAGGATGCCCAGCAGTTTGCAGGATGAAGCCCATCTGGTACCACCACAGCCAAGAGGTGTGTGTGCAGGGGGCAGTTGCTTGCTAATTATATCCACAGCTAATGCACTGGGACAGAAATAAACATGTGGAGAAGGCCTCTCTTGAGCAGGGCTATCAAAACCAAAGCCAGGGCACCACCATGTATGGATTGGCTGGTCCCGTGTCCCTCCTAGGAGTGTTGAAAGCTGAGCTTCCCCCGAGTCTAACTCCCTTCGAGAGAGGATCTGAGAGCTGAGCCAGGAGAAGACCCTAATCCCTAAAAGGGATCCCCCCCATTGCCCTTGCCAATGGACCCATGGCTGAAGAGCAGACCCAAAGGAGGTTGCCTGATGTGAACCTCTTCTGAAGCCTCAGCACTCAGCAAGGTGCTGTTAGAAGAGTAGCAACAGGGAGCCCGGATTTGGCTCCTTGCCCTGGCAAATGCTCTTCCCTGGACCCTTCTCGTTCACTCTGGGACAGCTGGTGGCTTGAAGAGCCCCCTCCCCACTGTGCTCCAGGGTGATTAACCCAACGTACCGATGGCCTGGGGATGGGCTTCTGGGGTTTCTTGGAGCCAAGCTTCTTCATAGCATTATAGTATTTCTTCTGCTCTTCTGTCATGAAGATGTCTTTGCCTCCAAAGTATAAAGGGAATCATTGCTGTTAGTCTTGGGAACTCAACTCTTCCCACCAAGCACCTCTGACTGTGCTCCTTCCCACCAAGCACCTCCAGCCAAGCTCCTACCAGACAGAGCTCTCTGCACTCAGTGAAACTGCCTCCTCCCTACTCGCCCTTTGCTCTGCTGCTTCCCCTGGTCCACAGCACCCATGGGTGCTCGCCCCAGCGCTGTGGTTTCCTCCTGCAGAGGTGAGATGCTGCTTCCCAGCCCCCTGCAGGAAGTGGAGCACCCTGTGCTCTGCTGGGGCTCACCCCTCCTTGCTGGCCAGATCCTGCTGGGACCAAGGGAGCATCTCCACACGCCTCAGAGCTTGCTTGGCCCAAACAACGTGCTCCACGTTACCCACCCTCCACCTGCTCCCCTCCAGCAGCCCAGGGGTGTTAGTCCCATGTCCTTCTACTGAAAGCAGAAGTTGAGCCTCTCTTTGACGCATGGAAAAATGGTGAGGAAGGGTCATGGGGTGGGAAAAGGAAATAAAAGTGATGGCCCAGGAGTACAGCCACAATTGCTGTGGCACAGGCAAGAGAAAACAGCCCCCCGGGCCTCCTCCCTCAGCATCCATGGATGAAATCCTCTGCAAGTGCCATGGCCAGGACACAAAGCCCCAGGTGCTGTTGGTCCAGCTCTCTTTGTTCACTCTGGGGGAAGCCACTAATGGACACCAGCAATTCTGGCTGCAGAGCGCCCCGAGGTCCCTCCAAGCACCCTGGTCCCCTCTTTCCACGACCATGCTGGTCCCCTCCATCCTGGACCTGCACCCCAGGAGGCAACAGTGGCTGCAGGACCCAGAAAATACTCATCTTTTTCTTCTGCTGGTTGAAGTTGTCGATGATGACACCAATGAAGAGGTTCAGGGTGAAGAAGGCGCCAAAGATGATGAAGATGACAAAGTAGATGTACATGTAGAGGTTGATCTCATACACTGGCTGCTCTTCAATCTGACCAGGAGAGACGGAAAACATGAGACTAATCCTCTCCAGAAAATGTGTCTCCAGGTCCCTAGACAAGGGGTGATTGTATCTGGACAGAGCCATGGGCTGGTTGCTCTAAAGCCTTTGGCAGATGCTGTGGGCAGAGTGGTCCCCTTGGAGCAGCCATGGGAAGGGACATCCATGTGACACCAGCTGGGGGACAAGGATGTGCTTGGAGAACACTCCTCATCTCAAGGGCCAGCGCTTAATCCTGCTCTATATTTGACTGGAGGGTTCCCCAAGGTGTCACAACCTGATTCCCTCAGTTTGAGGGAAGCTCTTGATAGGAAAGAGCAGCTTTGGTCCCAGCCCAGCTTTGCCCGGGGTGGCAGGAGCCCAATCTCCTTTCAGAGGGAGCTGGAAGCAGCTCTTCCACTGAGCGCCGCAGCTGCAGCTGGGGTGGGCAGGGCGGCTGCTTCTGGTGCTAAAAATAGGCAAAAAACCCAATGTTTGGGCCTGTGGGTGTGTGGGGCTGACCCCTCAGTGCTCACTGGGAAGGAAGTTCCTCCTGCTGCGGCAGCTCAAGGCAATGTGAGCCTGGTGTGAGGGGCAGGGTGCAGCTGGGATGCAGGTGACAATGACACGGGTGGCAAAAAGAAGTGAATCATTAAATCATAGAAAGTTTTGGGTGGGAAGGGACCTTTCAAGGTCACCTCATCCAACCCCCTGCAGGGACAGGGACATCTGCAGCTAGAGCAGGGTGCTCAGAGCCCCGGCCAACCTCCCCTGGGATGGTTCCAGAGATGGGGCAGCGACCACCTCTCTGGGCAGCCTGGGCCAGGGGCTCAGCACCCTCAGCGTCAAAAATGTTTTCTCTCTCTCTAGTCTGAATCTCCTTCTTCTCATTTAAACCCATCCCCCCTTGTCTTGTCCCAACAGGCCCTGCTCAAAAGTCCATCCCCAGCTTCCTGACAGGCCCCTGGCAGTCCTGGCAGCCCCCAGCAGGTCTCCCTGGAGCCTTCTCCTCTCAGCTGCCCCAGCCCAACTCTCTCCTGCTGGGCTCCCAGCAGAGGGGTTCCCCCCGCGGGGCATTGCTGGGGCTCCTCTGGCCCCGCTCCAGCAGCTCCCTGGCTCTGCTGTGCTGAGGCCTCCAGAGCTGCCCCAGCACTGCAGGGGGGTCTCCCCAGAGGGGGCAGAGGGGCAGGATCCCCTCCCTGCCCTGCTGCCCACGCTGCTGGGGGTGCAGCCCAGGCTGGGGGGGCTCCTGCCCAACTCCGCCCTCCCAGCCCCCCCAGGGCTGCTCTCCAGCTTTGCACCCCAGATGGGCTGATACTTGAGGACATTGTTCCCTAACCCAGGGGCAGGATCTTGCACCAGGAGGGACACAATGGAGGCTGTGCTCCTCAGCAGGAGACATGTTCTGGATGTTTCTCCACTCTTTGGTCCACAGCCAAAGCCGTGGGTGGGATGCAGGCAGCCCCCCAGCACCAAGGGGCACAGCCAGAGGGGATCCTGAGCTCCCAGGTCTCTGCTCCCAGCCTCCCAGTAGGAGCTGGCTGTGAGACACCCCTGCTTGTCCCCTCACCTCACGCGAGTCCACAGCAGCATACATGATGTCCATCCAGCCTTTGAAGGTCGCCTGTGGAGAAGAACAGATTCACTGGGAGGCATTTGGAGCTGAGGGGGGGGGGAGCAATGCCATGGGTGCGTGTCTGGGGCTTAGTTTGGGGGCTTAGCTCTGAGCACGCCCTGCTCAGCCTGGAGTTGCAGCTTCTGAGTGGGAGAGGCAGGAGAGGGGCCATGGGCTGAATCCACAAGAAAAATGCCCTGACACAAAACTCCGGAGATCTGCACGTGCACACACAAGCTCCATTCCATGGCTGAGCTCACCAGGGAGTTCCCAAAACTCTGCTGCAAACCAGGCTGGGAAAGGAAGCATTTGACTTCTTTTCTCCCCAAAACAAAGTGCATTTTCCCAACGGCAGAGCCGTGCCAGGGCTGTCTCCCCCCCTCCTGCTCCCCAAGCTGTGCCACCTCCATAACCCTGACTTCTGTACCCCTGGTGGATCCTGATCCTGGCGACCTACACGGCATCTTTTAGAAGCTTTTACTGCTGATTTGTTAAGCAAAAAGTCTGAACATCTTGTTTCCTGAATCTGATGGAACAACAAATCTGAAGAGGAAGCTGAGTTTCAAGCTGGTCAATCCATCTGGGTTAAGCTCTGATTCAGCCACTGGCAGTTCCCCTGGACCTGAAGGGAGCAGCCCCAGCCCACCCCTCTGCTTTTGGTGAGCTCTGGTCGTGGTGAGCAGGTCCCCTCCTGCTCGCTGGGCTCGGTGGAAGCTGGGCTGTGACCCCCCCTCCATGTGCTCTGTTTCCAGCCTCCTCTTGCAGCCTACCACCAGAGCAGGTTGAACTTTGCAGATGGGTGGGAGGAACACAGAGGCCTCCCCTCCTCGCTCCTCCATCCCCTGCTCTGTGGAGGACATCCCCCAGCTCCAGGCTTTGTGCTACCCACACTCACCCACCGTGGTTCCCCGATGACATTTCCCATCCCATCCCCTGTCCCTTCTCTCCTGGGCTCTACAGGGATTTTTTATTTTGGTGTTAAATACCAATTTTGGAGCTAAGGAGCAGCTAGGAGGTCCCATGTGGGCATCAGGGCAGCATCTTGCTTCATGCTGCCTGCCACAGGTCTTGGAGGGACGGTAGCTGCTTCTGTTACGTACCACCTGCAGCAAGGAGAGGTAGCCCAAGCCCACGTTGTCGAAGTTGACCTTGACGTTGACCCATCTGACCTCGTTGGTGTAGAGGAGGGCCATGCAGTCGCTCTTGTTGTTCACTGAGCTGACGTCGAAGAGCTCCCCCGTGGTGGTGTTGACACACCTGTAGTACTTCCCCGCAAAGAGGTTCACCCCCATAATGCTGAAGATCAGCCAGAAGATGAGGCAGACCAGCAGGACGTTCATGATGGAGGGGATGGCACCCAGCAAGGCGTTCACCACCACCTGCAAGGGGAGAAGAGACCTTGCAGGACCTGGCTAGGGAACCAGGACGCAGTGCAGCAGTGATGTGGAACTTCACGTCCCTGTGCCCCAGCCTCACCCACCCCAGCAGCACCAAGGGGGCTCAAACTGGACCAAAAGGTCCCTCAGCATTGATCCCACCGTCCCAGAACCCCCTGAAAACCAACTGGGATGGGTCCCTGGTGCAGGTGACTGCTGAATGGTGCTGGGTTGTGTGTCCCTGTCAGAGCCAGCAGCCCATGGGGGAGGCACCTACCCTCATGCCTTCGAATCTGGAGAGGGCACGCAGTGGCCTCAGAGCCCTCAGCGTCCTCAGGGACTTGATGGCTCCCAGCTCCGAGTATCCCATCCAGTTTGCTGTCAGGCTGATAATGGAGACCTGGAAGGAGCAGCCCAAGGCATTGGCAGCATCTTGGATGGAAACACCACTGAACCACATCCCTAGAGCTCCTGACCTTCCCTCTCTCCCCAGCACCCCTCAGGCTGGTGGTCGTTGTCCTGTCTCAGGACAGAGGGACTGGCATCGAGTCTGTGGGTCCCTGGTGACCATCCTCCTGAAGGATGTCCCTGCCTCTGGGGTATGAGGGTGGAGGAGATGTGGGAAACAGAAGCACTGCATGGGAAGAACGGGCTGCTCTGTCACAAAGCATCTGGGAGACCCTGCATCCCTTCACACCTCTAGGGGATCTGTTGGACAGCATGGGCTTGTTCTTGACTTGGGCTTGTTCTCAGCTTGAGCATAAACCAGAAAGGGTTTGAAAGTGCTTCTGCAGCCAGGGAAAGAAATGGCTCTTCCTGTGGAGGACCATTATTTTAAGCAATGGTCTAAGCCCTTGTTCCACAGCCACCCCACTGCCCTTTAGAACATGAGTTCAGTTCAATATCCTGCTACAATCCCCTGGTGCTCCCAAACCCCTTGGCTGACTATGGCTCTCTAGAGGTGCTCCTCAGACCACACTTACATCAACAATGAGGAAATCCAGCCAGCACCACGCGTTGGTGAAGTACACCTTGAAGCCATAGGCCACCCACTTCAGCAGCATCTCAATGACAAAGATGTAGGAGAAGACCTTGTCGGCGTACTCCAGGATGGTGCGGATCACCTTGCGTTGTTCAATGTAGATGTCCTCAAAAGCCTGGAAGAGGCGTGAAGCTACGTGACAGTCATTCTTCCATTAGACCTGCTGCTCGGCTCCGTGCAGCCCCTGTGCTGTCCCTGCTTCCCTAGGGCTTGGGGCAGCTTGGAGAGTTGAGAGCCAACTACAGGCGTTCACTGATGCACAGGGGGTCCAATATTTGCAAGTTCCTTTCAGCTAGGTAGAGCTTCACTGAAGCAAATCATTGACTCAGAGAATTGTTGTGGTTGAAAGAGATGTTTAAGATCATCAAATCCAACCATCCCCCAGCACTGCCAGGTCCCCACTGCCCCGTGTCCCTCGCCCCACATCTCCACAGCTTGGGAACCCCTCCAGGGGTGGGGACTCCACCACTGCCCGGGGCAGCCTGGCACAGCCCTGGGCAACCCTCCAGGGCAAGAAATTGTTCCTCAGGGCCAACCTCGACCTCCCCTGGGGCAACTTGAGGCCGTTTCCTCTTGTCCTGTTGCCTGTTCCTTGGGAGCAGAGCCCGACCCCCCCCTGGCTCCAGGCTCCTGTCAGGAGCTGTGCAGAGCCAGAAGGTCTCCCCTGAGCCTCCTTTGCTCCAGGCTCAGCACCCCCAGCTCCCTCAGCTGCTCCTCACCAGCTCTAGACTCTTCCCCAGCTTCCTTGCCCTTCCTTGGACATGCTCCAGCACCTAATGCAGCTACGTGTCCAGCTGCATCAAATTCCCACCAACTTGAACACAGGTCAAAAGCCAGGACACCAACCTGCACCTTTGGATGCCTTGGTAGTTTTGAAAAAGTTCTTAGGAGTTTGGGCTCTTGCTATGTCTTGATGGTGAGAGACAGAAGCAGTGGGAGATCTGGGCTTGGTGGCCCAGTGCTGTAAAGCTGGTTTAGACAAGCTTCTGATTCTGGCACTAGCTACAACCTCAGACATCCCCAAACTGCTCTTCAGGGAGTGATGCAGACGTGTTGTGCAGGATGTCTGAAAACCACTCCAGTCCCTCTATTCCTCCTTCCCTCTTTACCTCCAAACATGCAGAGAAGTTGAACCCAAACACTCAGAAAGGACCAACGGGCTGACACAGCTTTTGTGAGCTTGGTTTAAATGGACACCCAGGTTCTGGGAGGTTGCACAGCAGCTGGAAGTGCTGAACAGCAAAATAATAACCATGAATGATTTGTAGACACCTCCCGACAGCCAGTTGTGGAGGCTGTGAAATGAGGAACTGTCCCCATGAAGCTAAAGAGATGGTGCTGATGGTTGACATTAGGAGCAGGAGGGGAGGCTGTAGGTGGTTGCATCCCTTGAGGTCCCCTGGGCACCACAGCCCATGGAGAGGGTTTTAGAGGGGTGGTTGTGCCCATGCAGGGCTCTTGAAGGGCGAGGGGAGGATGTTCAGGTCCCCTTGGAAGGCTCTGCGTTGGGCAGACCCGAGCCACGGGGAGTTTTGAACCAAACATCTGCCCAGAGCTGCCTTATGTTGCCCGGGAGACATCCAGGCGATGCCCAGAGCCTCTGGTGCTGCTGCCTGGGCCCTGCCTGCGTTCCTGGGGAGCTGCTGCAGGTGGGAGGGGGTGAAAGGTGGGACCTACCAGCGCCCCACTGCTGAGGAGGATCATGAAGACGATGAAGGTCTCGAACCAGTCGTGCTCCACGATGCGGAAGCAGGTTTTCCGGACGTTCCACCATATCCTCCCTCTGTCACTGCTGATGTCCACGTAGAGGCAAGGAAACCTCTTCACGCAGGCTGCAGGTGGGACAAAGAGCTGTGGCTGCCCTGGCCGGGGTCTTCCCGCCAACGCAACGCTAGTTTTGCTTTCATTGTCTTTCTCAACACTCCCAGGTGGAGGTTGGAGCAGGATCCTGTGGGGGCTGAGGGTGTGCGTGCAAGAGGGGGACCTCATGGGGACCACCTCCTTGGTGGTGCAGGAGGACTGGGAGTTTGAGCTCAGTGAGCCTGAGGGTTGCTATGCTGCAAGAACCGCCTGGCAGGGGTCCCTCCATCCCCACCTCCCCCTCTGCACAGGGTCCCCTGCCCTGCTTGGCCCCTCACCTTCAGTGAAGCACTCCTCGGGCTCGTTGCTCTCCTCAGCCTCTTCTGCCACCTCCTCCTCCTCGGGCTGGGGGGGTTTGTAGTCCACCGTGCTGCACAAGGACGAGGCGTTGTCACTGGAGAGGGGATTCTGCGAAGGGAGAGGAGGATTTGGGGGGATTCAGGCTGGGCTGCCCTGCAGAAAGGATGCTCCTGGGCTGCAGCTGCCTCTGGCCACCCTCCGGCTCCTCCTGCCCCAAGAGGGCCCAGGCAGTGCCAGGGGAGCCAGCTGCTGGGACTCCTTTGCCTGGAGGCAGCTCTGAGTCCCTCTTCTGTGGACACACAGCCCAGCGTGGAGCTGCTGCACCACCCAGGGCTGCAGCCCTCCCAGGGGGGTCGTTCCCTGAGCCTGCACAAGCTTTGCTTTCCACCCAAGTTCAGAGGAGCAAAAGGTCCCCTGGCCTCAGCCTTCCTCCCTGCGTGGTAAATCCACCTCCCATCCCCTTGTGCCATCACCTCAGGCTGATTTCCTCACCTCCTGCTCCTCCTCTGCACGCCCCCATCTGAAAAACACTCTGCCAGACACCCCTTGGTGCAACGAGACCTGCAGAAACCTGGGCGGCCACCTGGGCCCTTCTCTGAAATCCTGCTGGCTCAGCTTGTGCCGAAGGGCTTTTGGGCTGAGGTTCACCCAAGTTCAAAGCCTGCATCCCAAATATCTCTCGGCAGCTCCATCTCGCTCCACAGCTCAGCTTGGCTGGCTTCCCAGACACCACTCAGCAAGGCCCGGAGGGGCTGATAACAAGAAAAAACCTTGGCAAGCCCCTGGGATATTTTTCCTCCCTTTTTTTTTTTTTTGTCCTTCTGAGAAGACCTTCTGCAGCACTTGAGGGACGAGCAGATCCCCAGATCTTCCTGCCCTGCCTGGGAGCAGCGGGGAAACAGAAGACTGTGGATGGGTATCTCCAGTGCAGGATGGCATTGGCTTGCATGAGGAGAAAGAATCCTCCCCCAAGGCTGCTGCTGCTTTCAGTAGTGACTGAAGAAGCTTCAACAAGCCACAGAAGGCTCCCTGGGGTAATTTGAGGCTCTGCCATTGCCTACAGCCTCCACGGCCATTGTTTTGGAGGACCCATGCAGGCTGGCTGTTGCTTGCTGGGGACACACAGGGCATTGCCCTGAGGAGCAGGACACAGCAGCAGTGGGGGCTCGAGCTGTTGCTGGTGGCTCTGCAGGAGCAGTGGGGCCAACACTGGCTGGCACTGGGGGGGAACAAGAGGGACGGGGGATTAGGAGGCCCCAGCACAGAGCCAGGGAAGCTGTGACCCCAGGGGAGGACACAAGGAAACCACCTGCCTCCAGGACAAGTGTTGCAAAGGCTCAGGGGTGGGGGATGATCCAGCACAGCCATCCCAGAGGCCAGGGCAAAGGTGCCCAAGGGGTGCTTGGCACACTCGTGTAACCCAGGAGCTCTGTGAGCTGGTGCTTGGGGCAGGTCCTGTTGGATGGGGACAGGGATAACTGTGCTGGTTCCACTGCACGGTCCCCCAGACTCCATCCCTTGGAGCTCCTGAGACCCTGCACGCCTGCAACCACCAGATTTGCAGGACAATTTCCATCCCATACCTGGCATAGCACCAACAGCCCGGCCAGTGTTTCCACCCAAATCCAGGGTTCCCCCATCCTCGCCAGCCCCACGCACCAGGGTTCAGGTGCTGTGCACCCAGAGTCCCCCAGTGACCCCACAGTTCCACCATCTCCTCGCTGCTCCGTGGTGCAAAGGGTACATCAGCCAGAAGCTGCTGCTGGAGGAGAGCAGCCACGCTGCTGCCATCACCCTGCCACTGCCACTCCTGGGAAGGGTCCTCGCCTCGGAAAGGATCTGCTGGGGAAGGGGGCAGCACCCACCAGCATTTTCGGAGCAGCCCATCTGGAGGAAGCCCCAGTTTGCAGCCCATGGCCCCGGGGTGAGGTGGTTTCTTGGGCTCTGGCTCCATCTGGAGCTAGTCAAGAGCTAGTGACACTCTTCCCCCGGGAGCAGCCCAGGGCTCCCACCCGTTACCACCCGATGTCTAATTATCGTTTCACTTGATGACCACCAGCCCGTTGCCTGCCCTGCCTGTTTGGGCAGGGGCCAGGTTGTTAATGTCCCCCCCTGGTTTGAACCTTGGTCTGTGTTCAACTGAATTTAGCCACCAAAACCAGCAGCAAATGATGAGGTGAACTGGTATTTAGTGGTTGAGAGATGATGTTTGACTCCTGCCCATGCTGAGAGGCCACAGATGGCTCTGAAAACACAAGCTCCACAGAAACACAAAATTATAGAATTGTTTGGGTTGGAAAAGACCTTTCAGATCATGGAGTCCAACCCTTCCCCAGCACTGCCAGGTCCCCACTGCCCCGTGTCCCTCACCCCACATCTCCACAGCTTGGGAACCCCTCCAGGGGTGGGGACTCCACCACTGCCCTGGGCAGCCTGGCACAGCCCTGGGCAACCCTCCAGGGCAAGAAATTGTTCCTCAGGGACAACCTCAACCTCCCCTGGGGCAACTTGAGGCCGTTTCCTCTTGTCCTGTCCCTTGTCCCTTGGGAGCAGAGCCCGACCCCCCCCGGCTCCAGGCTCCTGTCAGGAGCTGTGCAGAGCCAGAAGGTCTCCCCTGAGCCTCCTTTGCTCCAGGCTCAGCACCCCCAGCTCCCTCAGCTGCTCCTCCCCACACTTGGGCTCTAGACCCTTCCCCAGCAGCTCTGTTGCTCTTTGGACACACCCTCCATGGAGGGTGTTGGAGCAGGTGCCACTAGATGTCAGCTGAACACAACTCCAGCACGCCCGAGTCATGTCAGGACACGTCCAATAGCTGCACACCGAGGAGGTTTTCCCCCAGTCACCAGGAATCACATCGTGGTGGTGGTGATCTGAGGCCTCAGCATCACCTCAGTGCAACGTGGCCACATGCCCAGCACCCACACCCTGTGGGATCTGGGGATTGGTGCTGCTGGACTTAGAGTAGGAAAAACTGGAGAGGGAAACACCAACTCTCAGCCCTGCTGCTGGCAGCACTAAAGGGAACAGCAAGAGCAACTCCCCTTGCCCCTTCCCTTGGCCAAGGTGCTCCAGGCAGGAGCAAGGAGCACGTTTGTGATGGGTCACAGCTAGCAACCACCTTCCCTGCCAGCTCCCTGCTGCAGCCCCAGTTACTGGATCACTCTGCTTTCCCAGAAACCTATAACGAGGATTGTCCTCTCCTTCTTGCATAGTGCCCTGAGTAGTCCTGGTTCACTTTCATCCATAGAAAACCCCTTTCCAGATGGCTGCAGTTGCTCCTCTCCACCTGTATTTCTCCAGGACCTTGGTGCAACCACATTGCAAGGAGCAATTTCCCACCAGGTTTATCCCCCTCCATTTAGTGTGCACTGGGATCTTCCCCAGTTTCTTGACATCTCCACGTCATCCTCCCAGAGCACCAAGATGATTTGGGTCATGTGAGCCTGGACAGTCTCCTCTGAACCTTGACACAGCACTGCTGGCATCAGCTGTCTCCTCAGCTTGGGGTCCAAAATGCATCGCTTCAGGTTCACTTCTGCTAAGCTCCTCCATCTGGTTTCATACCCTCCCCGATGATGCTTTCTGAGGCATTAGCAGTGGATCCAATGTTAGTGCCATCAGCAGATTTCCTGGCATCAAATTCCTCCTGAACATCTTTAACCCCAAACTGAGTGCTCTGACCTGTGCACCAACCCTCTGGGGAGCAGTGGGTCCCTCTGGCATCAACAATAACTCCACAGCCTGACCTAAAACAGGCCGAGCCTCTGCTTGGACCCCTCCTCCTCCAGTGGACACTGGAAAACACCAAGCTGAGGAATCCCAGCTTTGGCCCGTGCCACACATTGTGGAAAAGCTAAAAGTAACCCAACCCAGCGTTGTTTGGTCAGGCTGGATGAGGCTCTGAGCAGCTTGACCGAGCTGGAGATGTCCCTGCTTATAGCAGGGGGGTGGCCTAGGTGACCTTTGGAGGTCCCTTCCAACCCAAACCGTTCTGTGATTGTTCTTTAGGCAGCACAGCTAGAATGGGTCGGTGCCAGTTTTTGGGTTGAAATCCTTCCACCTGCCTTTCTTACCTTGGCATCTTCTGTGTCAGACTGGGTGCTGGTCTCCTCGTAGAGGTCAGACTCCTCCGAGGCGATGGGGACCTGCACCGTCAGGTTGGGGTTGTTGATGAAGTTCATGTGGTCCAGTTCATCCATTAAAAAATGCTCTTTGCCAGTGACTCCATCCAGGTACTCCGACTTGGTCTCCTGGCCAGTGTCCACGTGGTTGAGCACAGAGTTGTCTCTCTTGTTGGGTTCTTGCTCTTCCTCTGGAGCCACCTTCTTCCCCTTCCACAGCCCGCGGAGCAGCGTGAGGAGAGAGGTCTTTACAAAGTCGATGCCCCTGGTGATCCTGCCAATAGCAATCTGCAAATTGTTCATCTCCCCGTCGTCGTCGGAGGCTGCCAGGCTGTCGGCGCTGAAGGAGCTCAGCAGCAGGGCTAAGAACAGGTTCAGCACCTGGAGGGGACAAAAGCAAACACGGCTGCTGACATCTGGCACCAACGTCGTCCCCGCAGGCTGGGGTGGCGAGGAACAGTCATGGCCATGGAGAAGACCCTTATATTGGCTGTGTCATGGGACTCCCTCCCCCTGTTGCCCAGCTCTAGGGATGCCAATCCCATCTCCTGGAGGACATGGACGTGGTCCAGCTCCTCCTTGCTCCTCCTCTGATGCTCTCGCTGTCACCCCCAGTTGCCTGGGTCCTGCTGATCCATTTGCAAGCAATGCCAGTCATTGCTTCAGCTCCTCTCAAACCAGCTCCCCTCTGGGCGCATCAGCTTGTCCCTCCTTTTGCTCCCTTGGAGCTCTTGGCCTGGCTGGTCCCCATGTGGGACTCTCCAGGCCTGTGGTGCTTCTCACCACCCACAGGGAGGTAACTCCACTCTCTCCCTTCTCTTCCTAGGGACAAACCTGCTTGTTGTCCTCCCAGCTGCAGCTCTTGCTCTTTGCTGTCCCTGGTAGCTCAGATGCCCAGCAAGCTCCTGGGGACCTCCAGCACCCTGGAGCCATGTGGGAGCCCGAGTCACAGCCATAACCTCACCCTTTGCTACCAGAGACTGCTCTGCTCCACGGAAAGCAGCATTTCACCTCAGCTCACGGGATGCGATCGCTCTAGACAGCACCAAGCACGGGCTCTGTCTTGCTTCTCCCACATCTCTCCTCCTTCACCATGCCCAAAACGTGACTTGACCCTGCCACAGCCTCGCCTGGCACGGGTGGACTCACTGGGTGCCAGAAGCCCGTTGCAGGCCATGAGGAGGGGGGTGGGCTGGGCTGTCCCTGGGCCGTGGGAGCACGGGCAGCCCCCGGGCCGAGCCCTCAGCTGTTGATGTTTGTGCCTTTTTGTGCCAGCAGCGTATCTGAGAAGGGAATTAGCTGCTATTCAAGGTCACTGCTGTTTTCACATGGCTCATACCATCTGACTGAAACCGTGGTCTTTAAATAAATCCCTACTAGCCCGTCAGTTTAATACTCACGTTAAGTACCAATTACAGCTAATAGTTGCTGTTAGCTCTGGCTTTTTTGGACAGGAGTCTGTTACCTCGTCACCCGACCGACTTCCTCCCTTTTCCCTTAATAACCCCAAAGGAAATGCTCCAAGTGTCACGAAGAATTAAGGACAACTGGCTGTCACCGTATTGCTCTGCAGGGGAAGTGGGGAGAAACACCCTCCCCCTGCAGCCGGGGTGCTTGGGAGCCTGTGCAGCACAGGCTCCAGGACTAGGAAATACCAGAGACAGGGCCAGGAGAGCTTGGCAGGGAGGGTGAAGAGGGCAGAGATGGCTCTCTAGGTGATCGTGCTCTGTATTTCTCTACTTAGCTTTAAATCAACCCCACGCAGCAGCAGTGGGGCACGGCAGAAGCTGAGGAGCTCGCCCTGAAAGCTGGGGTGCCATCTCAGGGAGGGTTACACCTCTGGGAGGCTTGGCTCTGACTCCACCAGCTGAAAACCACGCTGTGTCCATAGTGCCTCCAGGAGAGCCTCCTGAAGGAGTGGATGGGATGTCTGACTCCAAAAGCTGGCTCCAGAAGAGGCCCCTTTTGGGAAGGGTCTCCAGGGAGCCCCAGCGGAGGCTCCCAGTCTCTAAGCTCCTCCTGCCCCTTCTGCC